AGTTACATGATATGGTGTCACTACCCGTAGAAAGACTCCAGGATCTTATCGATGGTGCTTTAACCCAGGAGGAAGAAGAATCTTCTCTTGGTCAATCAAACACGCAACGTTTAATGATTGCACTTGATAGCTCTGGAATACTTTTAGGTGTCGCCTTATTGGATGTATGGCAGCGTGCCGACGTTCCCCATCGACGCCGACGTGTTGAGTTCCAACTTTACAATCCAATGAAAAGTGGCCTTGATAGATCCTCTGTGATGGATGCAAATCCAAGCTTAAATCCTTCACTCGCACATAATAGTGCTGGTCAGGATTCAGAAGCCAGTCGAGAGGAGCAGGTCAGAGAAGTGCTGGATGGGATTTTGGACTGGGTGGTATTAAAAGCTGATCCCAAAATGGCCAATATCTTCGCGCCTCGTAGTGGTGGAAAACACACTGACCCCATTCTTGGTCGGGTGCATTTCGCGGACGCCTTCCTTCTTAAGCCCAATGGAAGACGGGATTGTCTCCTACTTGTGGCTAACCGTCTTACATGTCACCCACCCTTACCCCTAGATACTTCGTTGGGTGGTCTCAACTTTCGTGTATATGCATTAATAAACGAATCGCGATTTATCTTCGCCAAGCATGGTGTGCAAGAGGGCATCCCAATTCGCCTAGAAAATGTCCACACTGCTGATCCAGATGACCTGCTTGAGGACAAGTCTCTTTTAGTTGTGCCAGATCTCCTATTTGATACGCTTCGAAAAGTGAGTTCGATTTTATTAGCCCACTTTGTTTGCATTTCTCTATATATTCGCTAATGGGCGGATCACTTTTATTTTATTCCAGGTCATGTTGCGGGAGCTGGTAACTTCGAGTAGTCCTGCAGCTGCCGCAGCCGTCGTCGCCACTCACCTGTCGGACCCAGGAGCCGTGGGCGGCCCAACACCCTACAGTATGGTGCATTGCACCAAGTTTGTCATACTTGATCGCCGTACACGCACTCCTTTGGCAATCGCATTCGACTCACCAGTGCGTCTAGCTCTGCAGATTCCTTCTGATAGTACTCCTATGCCAGTGCCCTGGAGTGAATCTGGAGCGAATGATTCGATGGCCACACGGTTCGATCGAATCACGGCTGGTGAGCTTAAGGCCAGAGAGGTGGCTTTCCGAGCCACCACTGCTGAATATCGGCTAGTCGGCATTAATGGGCTTCTCTACGCTCTGCAGATAGATGACCAGAGAGTTGTTCGCAAAGCAATGGAGTTACTTCCTGCCAGGCACGAAACGATCTTTCCCAGCATGCACCAGTCTTCTATGTGTGCCCTCTCAGCTACTGCCGACCCAAGGGCTGTCGAAGCAACTGTTCGCATCGTCAACGAAGAGTCGAACAGCTCCACTGTTTTCCCGGTAAGTTTTGTCGGCAAATCAGGTGGATTTAAAAATCTACGAATTGCGTTCAGGTGATGAAAGGCTGGTAATTTAATTTTCCTATACCGATATGGGCAGAGTTAATATTTTTCATTCCATTTCACATAGCCTCACTTTCCCAAAAATTGTTATTACCCAGGGTGGACTGCAGTTTTGACCTCGCATGGTTCTTATCAACACCTTAAGCGGGATTAAATCATGACATTGAGGTGTATTACCACGCCACATTGCAACGAGTTTCCTTGGGTCACAGGGCGGATGTGAATTTCAAGGAATATCAGGCATTTTCCATATCACACTCTGATATACTGGTAATCTCTAAATACTGCTCACTTACAAAAAAAGTAATGTCGTCGATTACTATGACAAATATAAGTTTGCTTCATCTACAATCTCAACATATAATTGTATATGAGAAATGCCTGACATTCCTTGAAATGCACATCTGCCCTGTGACCCAATGGCTCTTGTCGTAATATGGCGTAGTGGCTAATATGTCGATATTACAAGCTACATTGTCACGGTTCGGCTACCGCTTGGGTTGTTGATCTATGAGAGGTCGAAACTGCAGTCCACTCTAAA